AGATATGCTCCCCAGACTTGGGTGATTAAAGATGGGCAAGGTCATTTATTAGACAATACTTTGACACCCTACACAATGACTCTAATGCTGTCAACATAGCCTACAATGAGAAACACTTTGGCAGTCACTCAAACACCAGAGACGATGAGGAAATATTAAATATTGACAGGAGCAAGACAGAGGAAACTGTAAAGAAAGTGAAACACAGAAAGGTGGTGGAGGATCCAGCAGGGGTCGAGGCGCTTCTCAGACTCTTTAGAGAGATATGGAAACATGAAGTGATGTCCACAGAATGGAAGCACTCAATCATAATTCCCATATACAAGAAGAAGGACAAGCTGGACTGCTCAAATTATAGGGGCATTATTTTCTTGTGCCATAGCAGCAAGATCTTCTCCTCCATTATCCTGCAAAGAATCAAGGGCAAAACAGAGTAAATTCTAGCAGAGGCCCAGTGCAGATTCAGAGCTAACAGGAGCACAATTGATCAGACCTTCGCTTTGAGGCAACTGGCAGAAAAATACAAAGAATTTGGAAAAGACTTGTATGTTTGTTACATTGACTTCAGGAAGGCATTCAACAGCATTTGGAAGAAAGGATTTTGGGAAACAATGAGATTCTACAGGTACCCAGAGAAAGCCATAAGAATACTAGATAATGTCTATAAAGATACCTTCACATCAAAGTCTGAGGAGAAATAAGTGATCAGTTTAAAACAATCGTCGCAGTGTTGCAGGAGTGCATTCTCTCACCACTACTCTTTAATATATTCCTGGAATTAATAACAGCAAGAGCTCTGGAGGCGTGCAGATGAGTGGTGTGTGAATCAATAACTTGTGTTTCGCCGACGATACCACACTACTCGCTGAAAGTCCAGATGAGCTGCAGGCCATGGTAAAAAGAATGGTGGCAGTAAGTGAAAACCTTAGTTTGCAAGGAAACATAGAGAAGACTGAGATACAACACATGGGAAAGGTGCACAAGGATTTTAACATTGTAATAAAGAATCAGAACCTCAAGCAAACAGTCAACTTTGTCTATCTGGGAGGAAACCTCAGCTCAAAGGAGGGAACTATTTCAGATACCAAGAGGCAGATGGGATAGCAAGGGCTGCATTCCAGGCACTAGGAGAGGTTTGATCAGCGAGAGACATAACAACAACAACAAAATTACAAGTATATGAGACTCTTGTCTTGAGCTGCCTTCTTCACAATGCTCATACCTGGACAAACGCTTCTCAGAACACCAGCTGGATGTGTTTGAGATGGGATGTCTCAGGAGGATTCTAGGCATCACACTAAGAGATAGACTGCGCAACAATGACATTAAGAAACATCTCCATCTCCAGAAGAAAGTAAACTATAGAATACAGCAACAGCACTTGAAATACTTTAGCCACGTTACACAAATGAATGATAGCAGATACCCAAAGATAGCACTGATTGGAGGAGTGCCTGAGAAGGTGAAGAGGAAGGCCCAAAAAATGCTGGATAGACAGCATTAAGGAAGACTGTGCAACTCTAGGTATGACAATAATACAAGCATCTAGAACAGCCCGGGATAAGAACTGGAGAACCGCCGTAAACAGGCTGCTCATGTATGCTTAAGCATTGCCAGGGCAAAAATGAAAGAATATAGACCATTCCACCCAAACACAAAATAATATACCTTCTACTCAGCACCTCATGGAACTTTCTCAAAAACAGATACTCAATAACAAAGCAAACCTCAACAGATAAAAAAAATTGGAATAATCCCCTGTATCCTATTGGATCACCATGGCTCAAAGTTAGAATTCAACAACAACACTAGTTGCAGAAAACACACAAACTCATGGAAATTGAACAATGCTCAATCAAATCACCCCTGGGTGAAGTAAGAAATAAGGACTTTAAACACCTCCTAGAATTTAATAAAAATGAATACATAACATACCTAAACTTATGGGACACATTGAAAGCAGTGCTAAGAGAAAAGTTCATAGCACTAAGTGCCTACATAAAATACATGGAGTAATCTCACCCTAGTGACTTAACAGCACACCTGAAAGCTCTGGAACAAAATGAAGCTATATATATATATATATATATATATATATATATATATATATATATATATACATATTCTTATAACCCCTAAGAATATAGAAGCAGTCAAAAAAGTTTGACAACCAAAAAAAAAAAATCCCAGGGCCAGATGGTTTTTATCACAGAATTCTACCAGAATTTCAAAGAAGAGCTAATACCAATACTCCTCAAATTGTTCCACGCAATAGAAACAGGAGAGATATTGTCAAACTCTTTATGAGGCGACTGTTACCTGGTACTCAAAGCACACAAAGATGCAACTAAGAAAGAGAATTACAAACCAATCTCTCTCATGAACGTTGATGCAAAAATACTCAATAAAATACTGTCAAACCGAATCCAAGAACACATCAGAAAGATCATCCACCATGGTCAAGGAGCCTTCATCTCAGAGATGCAGACCATATAACAAACTGGAAGTGAAAAACACATAATCATTTCATTAGATGCAGAAAAGGCTTTTGACATAATCCAACACCGCTTCATGATAAATGTCTTGGAGAGATCAGGGACACAATAACATTTCTAAACATAATAAAGGCAATATGCTGCAAGACAACAGCCAACATCAAATTAAATGGAGAGAAACTCAAAGTGATTCCACTAAAAAAAAGGAACAAGATAAGGCTGTCCTCTCTCTCCATATCTATTCAATAAAGTACTTGAAGTTCTAGATAGAGCAGTAAGACAACAAAAGGAAATCGAAGGGATACAAATAGGAAAGGTAAAAGTCAAAGTTTCACTATTTGCTAATAATATGATAGTTTATATAAGTGACCCCCAAAATTCTACCAGGGAATACCTACAGCCAATAAAAACCTTCAGGGATGTGACAGGATACAAGATAAACTTTAAAAAATATCTGTATCCCTCCTATATACAGATGGTAAATTGGCTGAGAAAGAAATCAGAGAAACATCACCCTTCACAACAGTCTCAAACAACATAAATTTCCTTGCGGGAACTCTAACCAAACAAGTGAAAGACCTGTATAACAAGAACTTTAAGTTTTTGAAGAAAATGAAGAATATATTAGAAAACATAAAGATCTCTCATGCTCTTGGATAGGTAGAATCAACATAGTAAAAATGGCAATCTTACCAATATAGATTCAATGCAATCCCCATCAAAATTCCAGCACAGTTCTTCACAGTTCTTGAAAGAACAATACTCAATTTCATATGGAAAAACAAACAAACAAAAACCCAGGATAGCCAAAATAGTCCTATCCAAGAAAGGAACTTCTGGAGGCATCACCATCCCTGACTTCAAGCTCTACTATAGAGCAATAGTAACAAAACACTTTGGTATTGGCACAGAAAAAGACAGGTGGACCAATGAAATTTAATCAAAGACCCTAATATTAATCTGCACACCCATGAACACCTGATTTTTGACAAAGAAGTTAAAATTATACAATGAAAAAAAGAAAGTATCTTCCACAAATGGTGCATCAACATGTAGAAAAATGAAAAGAGATCCATATCTATCCCCATGCATGAAACTCAAGTCCAAATGGATCAAAGACCTCAACATAAATCCAACCACAATGAACCTCAAAGAAGAGAAAGTAGCAAATAGCCTTGAACGCATTGGCACAGGAAACCACTTCCTGAATGTAAACACCAGTAGCCAAGACCATGATGGCGATAGCCACAGAAACAGCTGACTCAAAGTAGTGGGAGCTCGCTGACCCTGGACTGACAGCTGGGGAACCAGCATGAGACCGAACTAAGCCCTCTGAATGAGGGTGACAGTTGTGTGGCTTGGGCTGTTTGTGGGGCCACTAGCAGTGAAAACAGTATTTATCCCTAGACCATGAACTGGCTCTTTGGAACCCATTTCCTATGGAGGATACCTTGCTCAGCCTCAATACAGAGTGGAGGGGCTTGGACCTCCCTCAAATTATATGACAGACTTTGTTGGCTCCCCAAGAGAGGCTTTACCCTCTCTGACAAGTGGATGGGAGGGCTGATGGGAGGAGGTGGGGAAGTGGGAAGACAGGAGGGAAAGGGAACTAGATTGATATATAAAATGAGATTTAAAAAAAAAGTTTAAAAAAAAGCGTGTGCCATCAGCACCAGGCTTCTTTATCACATTTTTTACTTTCAACTGCTTCTTTTTTCCCCCTTTCCCCTTTGATACATACTTTAATGCTTAGATTTATAAGCAAAACAAATATGAAAGGAGAGAACCCAGAACCCAGAAAGAACAGCACCTCTCCTCAGACCACAAAATGCCACATGGGATTAGAGTATAGCAGAGTTTCACCTGGCATTTGAGCCCCAGAAACACCGGGCTTGTCAGTTGCTCTCAAGAAAGGCTACTGTAGTATGGCAACAACACCAAACAGACACGTAAATCAGTGGAACAAAATAGACAACTCAAAGGGAAACTCACATGGTTGTAGACACTTTTTTGACAAAGATGCCAAAAGTTCACATGGGAGAAAAGTTGGTCTTCTCACCAAGTGCTGGGAAACCTGGACTCCCACCCACAGAATGAAACTAGATCTCTCTGTCTTACACCACACAAAATCAACTTCAAGAGAATCAAAGGCTTTGCTGTCTTTGATTTGATCAAAGAACTGAAACTGAAATTATTAGAGGAAGATATTTAAATACATAGGCATTGGCAAATAACTGATTTCAGTTCCCAGCATCCACATCAGACAAGTAACAATCACCTGTAACTGCAGCTCCAGGAGAAACAGTGCCCCCTTCTGACCTCTGTGTGCATAGCACTCATGTGTGTATACCCATGCACAGATACACACATACACACAATGTTCAAAAGCAAAATAGGTCTGCTTTAAAAGAGAAAAGAAAGAGTTCAAGTGACTAAGCAACAAAATTATGGAGTAAGCTATGTCTTATTAGGAGAAAAACACCCCTACTGTCATAAAATCCTTACTTGCTACTGAGATATCAATATGTTCACTTTTATGTGAGGCCCTGAAAGGGGCTTCTGCCTGCAGGTACACACAGCTGTACCTTCCCGCATCATGGGCTGTCACATTCTGAAGGGTGAACTCCACCGTGTCGTTTTCTGAATTCAGAAGCTGTATGGGGGATGAAGTTCCCTCCTTTAGCAGAGTGAACATTTTATACTCTGTGAAATTGTGTGGCTTCTGACACTGTAGCTTCACCTTCTCTCCTGCGGTAACTTGACCCAAGTGCTGGACGCGGAGGGAAGGCTTAGGCAGGTATCCTGTAAGAGAAACAAGATCCAAACGGGAAGTCCAGGGTCCTCCACTCATCCTTCCAGTACTGCAAGGGTCCATGCGGTGCTGACACTTTCCCACAGTCTATCCTGACCCCGACAGACATATTTTCAGTAATTAAATTTACTTGTAGATAATTTCACACATGTGCACATTGCGTACTGCCCATTTTCATCCCACCTCCTTAACACCTTCCCCATCCCCATGAATTCGTCTGTGATTTATTCCTATTCATTTTGTCTGGGGACCCCCTCAGACTAACCGGTGCCACTGTATGATCATTAGTTTGAAGATACCTGTTGAAGCCCAGTGATCTCAGCAGAGGGTACAAAATTAAAGACAGTGGTTCCTTTCTCCCAGAATCTACCCATAGCTGGTAGTTTATTCATAAAGAGTAGGGCTCTGTAAGCCCTTTCCCTCCCTTGACTTACTGTTGATGGGACCATTCCTGTATGTGACCAGTGTTGAAGATAAGATTTTTTCCCCCACCTCTACAGATCTGAGGAAAGATGAGGTATTCAAGTTTGTCCTCGTTACCTCATGTCCTCCTTAACTGCTCTGGAGGTGCAGTTCTTTTCAATTATATTTTTATTTACTTATTGGGCAGGGCACATGCCAGGACATGAGTGTGAAGGCCTAAGCACAACTTGTGGATGTCTCTCCTTCCACCATGTGTGTCTCTGGGAACAAACTTGGGTTGGCAGACATGAGAGCTGAAGTTTCTACCAACTGAGGTATTTCACCAGCCCCTATGGTTCCCCTTTTGTCCCTACCTATATTCCCTTGGTGACAGGCTCTACTAACCTGTGACCAATAGTAAGAGCACATCACTGGAAGGTGAACTTTGATTGGGAGACTCCTTTCTGTAGTATTCACAGGTGTAATATCCAGCATGCCTCGGCTGAAGGTTAGTCAGGTGGAACTCAGCTGTCCCCTCTGTCAAATGATGTGGAAGCCTGGAATCCAATACGCTATCTCCCTTTCTGAGAACAAGTTGTGTGCCCGGCGTGGGACTCACACACCGCAGTGTCACGTTGCTGTTCTCTGAAGCCACTGAGTTTGGCCAAGCACTGAGGCTGGGTTTGGGAAAGAAATCTGGAGGAAACAAAAATCTTTCTGGATCAGGCACATTCATCTGCTCACAGGAAGGAACAGAGAACATGTGTGATGAAATCTCGGGGTGCGTGTGATTGAGTCACTTACCATCTCTGTGTGGCCATCATTCAGATCTGCAAAACAGTCAGGAATGATGTACAAGTGCCTGCTGACAGCCACCTCATTACCATCCTTGGTTCTGAGGTGCACCCCAGAGGTTCCAGCTGAGCACAGCCCCCAAGTTCACATATTCAAGGTTTGCATACTCCCACAACTCCTAGCCTCTGGCTTTAGGACAACTTGGCACTTCTTTGCCCCCCGAGACTCTGCTCTCCTGCTTCTCTGCGTCCACTTCTAATACTTCATTGCTTCCTAGTTTACCGAAATCCCATGACTCCTCCCATTCTCACACCATTCTAGCCCCAAATTTTACTTATTTTCACCACTTCAGTTAGAGCCTTGATTTCGGGGTCTGAGTTATGACATGCACTTCATAGAAAAAGCTATGCAAAACCCTGGGGAATTCCTAAGAACTGAGTATGAGTCTGCCTTCTTACTGATTGCAGAAATTCCCCCAATATGCCTGGGAGTCCCCTGAAGTCTCTGTGAACAAGGTAACCCTCCTAGTAATGGCTGGTTGGTACTTTAGATTACGATAGATATTTCTAAGGTATGATGGAGGATTGGATGAATGCCCCCAGAAATAAGAAGAGTCAGGTTTCAAAGACTCAGCTTTAACCCAAAAAGTGAAAGAGGAAGAACATTAGAAATAATAAAGATGGACTGTTAAGCTGGTTCAGAAGTTAAATTCACCAACTGCCAAGTGCTCACATGATGTCTAATAACCACATGTAATTCCTGTTCTAGTGAATGTAACATCCCCTTCTGGCCTCTACAGGCACTTGGCATGCACATCATATACAGACATATATGCATGCAAAACCTAAGCACATATAATAAAAGAGAAATAGAAATCATTGAAGAGATTATAATGTAACTTTGAGCGAGAAGTTTCTTTTTGCAGTGGGCACCCTTCACTGGTGACATGCAGAACTGATGAGAGTGTTGAGAGTAAGAGTGACATCCATGCTACCGCCACTGACACCACCATCACCATCACCACCCCATCACCACCACCATCACCATCATCACCATCACCACCATCACCTTCACCACCATCACCATCATCACCATCACCACCCCATTACCACCACCATCACCATCACCACCATCACCATCACCACCACTATCACCACTACTGCTGCTGCCACCACCATAACCACCATCACCATCACCACCATCACCATCACCACCATCACTATCACTACCATCACCACCACCACCCCATCACCGTCACCACCCCATCATCACCATCACCACCACCACCATCATCACCACTGCTGCTGCCACCACCACCACCATCACCACCACCACCATCACCACCATCACCATCACCACCCCATCACCACCATCACCATCACCACCCCATCACCACCATCAACATCACCACCCCATTACTACCACCATCACCACCAATCTTGGCATAGGTATGTAGAAGGTCTTCAGGCCCCACCTCTTATTGAGCAGCTATTGGTAGTTGATATTTGCCAGGAGTAGGGGATATCAATCTTTTTTAAGGATGTGACCATTTGTAAGTTTCTCATGATCTACTGGATGGCACAACACCCTTGTACATAGGGAAAGCACTAATTGGACTTAGTGGGTTATAACAACAATGATAACAACCATAATAACAATAAGACAGGGTGATAGAGGAATGGTTCATTGTTTAAGAGCTTGTACTTCTTTTCCAGAGGACCTGAGTTGATTTCCCATATACAAGTAAGACAACATGCAACCACATATAATTCCAACTCCCTGGGATCTGAAGCCTCTTCTGGTCTGCATGGCCACATACAGAGAAACACACACAGACACACACACACACATACACACACAGGGATACAGACACATACACACCCCACATGAAAATAATTGAAAGGCATGGAAAAGGAAAATGGGAGCTGCTTATGATCATATTTCATTGCATATGTGCATGCAAATCACAAGCATAAAAACAAGGTGAAAAATAATAGGACATGTGAATATCCCAGAGAACCAGAAAGTTAAATATGAAAGTGAAGACAATCTGACCGGCTTCTCCACAGAAGATGAGAAGCCTAAGACTCCTTCACAATGTAAGTCTTGGTTAAAACAAATCATTGGTCATCCTATTCACAGGAAAAAAACCTCAGAGGAAACTAGAATGCCAACAACTTATTCCATGGTACAAGCCAGAATTAGGAATGAAATTCATTTCTCTATTTGTGAGGTTGAAACTCTGCAGTCAGGAACACAGGAGGGTACAGGCGACCTGAAGGTTAAAGAGAATATTTGGCAGATAAGACATTTTATTCTGCAGCATACAGACCACTGGGTAGTAAAATGCCGGCAGGCACCCAGGCACATGCCAACACAAATATGCAGGCAAAGGTATGCACAAACAAACCAAGTGCACAAAAGTTACACAGAGATAGGCATATAGGCCTATAGGCAAATGTGTGCATGCATACACACACAGAGACTCACACAGACAAACACACACAGTGGCAAGTTTGCAGAGGCGAGGACTCTTACCTCTGACCTAAAGATCATATGTATGTAACACAAAAGTCTTAAGACTGAAGAGGGAGGGGAAAAGGGAGGAGGGGAGTAAAAGGAAAATGGGGGGGATGGGAGGAGGCGGACATTTTTAATAAATAAATAAAAAAATAAAAAAGTGTCATCCTGCCATAAATAGCTATAGAGAAGATTGCATCACTTACGTACTTTTAGGTTTTCTAGACATTCAGTGTCAACCCTTTTTTGTTGCTATGGAAGCAAGGAATGGTGTATTTCAATCACTGAAAATGAACAACTTCTAACCAAAGTTACTATGTACAGATTATAAGAAAGATTATAGGAAGAATTGATCATGTTCAACTCAGTGAAACAGCAAATTCCTCATATGAATAGTGGAGAAAGAAAAAACTTGATTAATGTCAACCAGGAAAACAACTAACAGAATTACAGAGATCAGGAAACCTATCTCAGGAATTGCTTGAAGGACTGGAAGGAGACTTGGCATTTGAGAGCAGGCAGTGCTCTTACAGAGGACCAGATCCCAGCACTTACAAAGGGAAGCTTCTAGCAGTCTGTAATTCCTGATCCAGGAGATTCCATGTCCTCTTTTGGCCTCTGCAGAAGCTGCACTAAAGTGCACACACACACACAGAGATAATTAAACAAAACTAAGTTATCCATGGGATGTGGCCCACACCTTCAATCCCAGCGCTTGGGAGTCAGAGGCAGGCACAGCTCTGTGAGTTCATGGCCAACCTGGACTGTATAGTGAGCTCCACACCAGACCAGGCAGACCTACATAGTGGGAAGTTGTCTCAAAAATTAATTATAAAATACAAAGATAAGAATGTATTAATAAAGTGAAAAATCCATGAAGAAAATATAAAGATTAGGGCAGTGAGATGTCTCAGTAGATAAAGGAACTTGCCACCAATCCTGAATACCTGAAGTCAAAGTGAATCTCACATAGTAGGAGACAACTGAATCTCTCAAGTTATCCTTTGAACTTCACATGCATTCTGTGGCATGTACACATTCATGAACATATTGCACATATGTACACAATAAATAAACAAATGTAAAAATAAAAGAAAACGTAATGATTGAGTTGGGCATAGTGACTCATGTCTTCATTCTTAAGACACAGAAGTAGGAAGCCTGTGAGGCTAGCCTAGACAACTCCGAAAACACCTTAAACAACAATAAGATGCTATCTCAAAAACAAACAAACTAGCAACACCTTACCAAGACCCTGGTTACAAACAGTGAGATGACATGTCAAAAGCAGTTATATCAAATATGAAAAAGATAGACATAAATTTGTGTAAAAGCTCTACATTCAGGGCTGGAAAGACGTCTCAGTGGTTAAGAGCACTGGCTACTCTTCCAGAGGACCTGGGTTCAATTCCCAAAACCCACAAGACAGATCTAAATGTCTGTAACTTCAGTTCCAGGGGATCTGGCACCCTCATATACACATACATGTAGGAAAACACAAATACACAGAAAATAAAAATAAAAAGAAGACATGAAGGCTATATATATTGGGTGTTGACCCATCCATTTCATAAAACTAATACTAATGGGCATAAAGAGACAAGTCCAGATGATGGGTGACTTCAATGTTCCACTGTTATCTATAGCTACACCACCCAGACAAAGTATCAAAAGGAAATATCAAAGCTGAGCTGCACCACAAATAAATGAATCTAGCAGACATTTAAATGATATTCTGTCCCACAGCACTGATATACACATTCTACACAACAACTTTTTGCCAAAATAGAGCACATTTGGGTCATTGTTTTAGTTTCATCCAAACTGAAGCATTCCCTCAGGAAGGACAAGGAGGCTGGTGGGAAGGGAAAGATTCTCAAAGGCCCCTCCCAGCATATAAAAAGGTTCAGTGACTGCTGGGGGAGGAGGAGACTCTGACCAGCCCAACACAGAGAGAAGAGAATTCTGAGAGCCTTCAGCTGCCTGCACGCTGTGCAGAGCTCCAGGCTGCAGCGTTCTTGAGTCATCAGCAGCACTGGAGTGGGCTTTCTGCTGGTGTAGCTGCTGTGGGGCCATCCCTGCTCCAGGGGACACTCCCCCACCCATGCTCCACTCAGTAACCCTAATAACAACCCATCGGTTCACCAACTGGGTCGTTCACTGAAAATTTGTTTGTTTGTTTGCCATGGGCTCCCTTAGTGGGGTGAGGTTTTTAAGCTGTTTGGATGAGCATGTGTGCCTACACGAGTGCATGTATGTATGTGTCCATGTGTTTGCTTCTACCCTGGAAAAGTCTGCCTGATAACTGCCATAAAGCGAATCTTAGTGAACACAAAATATCTAAATAATCTCTTCTAAATTATGGCTTTCTGTTTATTTAATATTGATTTTTATTAGTTTTACTTTATTTATTAGATTTTTTTAAGGCAGACTTTCTGTTTTACCCTAGCTGTACTGGAACTCACTTTGTAGACTAGACTGGTGTTACAGAGATCCCCTTACCTCTGCCTCCTGAGTGCTGGGATTAAAGGTGTGAGCCACCATGACCAGGCTTTTTATGAGTTTCGTGTGTGTGTGTGTGTGTGTGTGTGTGTGTGTGTGTGTGTGTGTTGGGTTTGTGCACGAGTGCAGGTGCCGTCAGAGGGCAGAAGACAGCGTCAGATCCCATGGGAGCTGGAGTCACAGGTGGTTGTGAACTGCATACTGTGAGTACTGAGAACTGGACTCTGGTTCTCTGCAAGAACAGTAAGTGTGCTTAACTCCAGCCCCTAAATAATGTCCTTTCTCTCTACAGTAACTATACAAATAAATTTTAAGGAGAATATTTAAAGCTTACCTGACACCAAGATCTCAAGGAGATCACTGGGGTGGGAGGCCCAGAAAGGGGCTCCTATCTGGTGGTAGACACAGCTGTATTTTCCCGTGTCCTCAAGGGTCACATCATGAAGTGAGAAGTTTGCTCTGTTCCTTTCTGATCTCTGAGCCTGTACAGGTGCTGAAACTCCTTCTTTCAGAAGCAGGAACATTTTGTACTCAGTCATATTATGTGGCTTCTGACACTGCAGGGTCACGCTCCCTCCGACTGTCACACGTCTCCTCTCTTGACGTGTGACAAGCTTGGTGAGCTTGGAGGGAAGGTTTAGGTAAACGGCCTGAGAAAGAAGAATCCTGTGATCATGGTGAGGAAGGCCTGGCTTACACTCCCACCCTTGTTCTCATGATGCCTGATCTCTCCCTCTGTGTATCTGATCTCACTGCACATCTCTGGCTGTCCTGTCACTAGACCTGGCTGGCCTTGAACTCACAGAGATCCATCTGTCTCTACCTCTTGAGTATTGGGGATCAAAGATGCGAGCCAGATCAAACCCTGTTGAAAATGGAGATTTTTTTCCCCCTTTCTTTCAACTCTCTGGTAAAACTAGGGTATCAAGGTTGAAAATGCATATGGAATTTGGAGAGTGGTGTTCTCATTCTCAATTGCTCTTCCACCTCATTCACCAGGGTGTAGGGCCCTGTCCTCCCTGTTCCTTGAGGCCAAAACACAGGATGCAAGTAATGTTTATGCTAACCAGCTAAGCTTCCTGCTAGTTCCGTCCTTGCTTCTGCTACAGCCTGGTGCAATAGCCTGAGGGATCTATTTTACTTTAAAATGGTAATTTCTCAACCTGCCTAAAAGAAGCTCAGGGCCAAGGTCCATCTAACCTGTCTGACATTGCCTTGAACCCTCGACCACCTGCCTGGGGAGAAGCTCCCACAGACGCCAGTTTCCCCAGCCCCCTCTGGATGGGAAGAGTTTTCCTTTACTAGGGCCTAAGGTATTTAACCCTGATCAAGTTGAATAAATGGGGCATTCTCTTCTTGAGGATGACTGGAACTCTGTATCTGTGTGTGTGCGTCTTGTGTTTCAACCCCTAGGACAATATGGAACTCGTGGGAGGTGGGTGGCGCGGAACGGCGACCCCTACACCAGGGGGGACCTCACAACCAAATAAATCATAGCTCCTGAATATGATTACTCTCATTAGCCAACCTGCTCTAGAGATCCCCTGTCTCTCTTCTGAACCTGGAGTTACAGCTGGATTACCACACTCACCTAGCAAGCACAGAGCTGTCCTAAGAAACCTACTTCCCCACTTCCCTATCCCTAGCTACCGAAACCTCAGCTTAAAGCCTGGTATCTATGTTCTCTTGGATTTTCATCTTTGTGGTGCTGGATCCTATGTCCTAATCATGGCACGGAGAGAAGTAGAGACAGCACCTCTCTGGCATTAAATAAAGTCTCCACTAGCTGTTTGAGGTTGTGTAAATTCTTCTTTTTTATTCCTTCCTACAATCTTAAGTCTTCAGTATCTTTTGACTACCCAGGCATAACAACCAGTTTGGATCACACAATAAGCCACGTAATTTGTGGGGGAGTGGCCTGCCCATAACTGCAGCTTCTGAAAGCCAAGACAGGACATCTCCCTGTCTACCAAAAGGTACTAGATCAGTGAACGACGGTTTGACTGCAAGGGTCTACTTTGATGAATACAGTGAAAGAACAATTGGTGACGTCTAGACTCCATATGCATACACACATATGTACACATACATCCAGACCCATGGGTGCCTACACACATGTAACATGCATACACACATACAACACACCCATATAAAATGCAAACAATAACTGACAGTATTCCTTTCTGTCACTATCGCTCCGTCCTCTCCTAAACTGCCCTTGAGATGATCAGTCTTTTCTCCCTCCCTTTCTCCCTCTGATAGATGGATACATGCTGAGGAAGCCCCTCCTCACCTGTGACCAGTATTAGAATTGCATCACTGTACAGCAACAGCACATCAGGAACATCAGTTCCCAAACATTTGCAGGTGTAGTGTCCAGCATCACTCTGCTCCAATTCAATAAGATAGAATTTATAATGATGAAGAACTTCCGTAATTAAATGGGATTTAGATGTTCTTTCTGTCAAACTAAGGGGTGTCCTAGAATCCAAATTAGTATCTCCCCTTTCAATATCACACACTGTATCTTGCACAAAACTCATGCATTCCAGTGTCACATTGCTCTTGTTGGGAACAACAAAGCTGGGCCAAGCACTGAGGATGGGCTCAGGTAAGGGCTCTGAAAAAAAGTAAAACTCAGATTTGCATATGACATATTATCCTGCTCTCTGGAAACCATTTAAAACAAGGGATGAAGCCATTTCAACACTTGGGATGAAGGATGAGGGGGCGGGGCTTGATTAAAGAGATACTTACCGGCTGCACTTATATCTGTATGCCCAACATATAGCCCTGCAAGAGAACAACTCATGATCACAGTGACTGCCTGGAGCTCCCCAACCACCCACCCCCCAATCCCAAGCATCCACTGCTGGGCTCATACTCTGACTTCACTTATCAAGGCATGTCTCTGCTTCCCACACTGGACTCTGGTATGTTACTTGCTCGCTAACAGTCCATCCCTTCCCTGAGAACACGTTTGCCATTGCCAACAGTATCAACCTGCATGTCCATTTCCAAAGGACACAATAATACATGCTGCAAACTGTTAATACTATGAGTTCAGTCTCTTCCCACCTGTCAGTTCTCTTACCTACATACCATTCATGCAGTGTACATGGAAATCAGAAGAGGGCAGCAACATGGCTCTCAGTGGCTAAACTTATGTCTAGGATGAGTGTTCTTTTTTAAACTCTCCAGAGCAAGATCTATTGTATTACTTCGAAGAACCTAAAGATTCTACCAGAAGAATCATTACATCTGCTAACTTATAGCAGGGCCAGAGAGATGACTCACTGAATAAAGGTACTTGCTGCCAAGTCTGATGACCTGAGTTCAATCCTTGGGATTCATATGGTAAAAAGAATAAACTTATTCATTAAAGTTATCCTCTGACCTCCACAAGTGTGTTGTGGTGCGTGTACATGTGTGCATGCTCAACTCAAATAGAGACCGTATGTGTGTGTGTGTGTGTGTGTGTGCGCACACACACAACTCAGAGACCAATGGAATGCAATAGACAACTTATAAATAAACCTATACAGCTGTAGACGTCTGGTTGGTGGACTAGATACAATGAAGCCTCATTCTCAACAGTTGATATCTGGGTCCAGGTAACTCTGCATTCTAGGGCAGTCAGCAGCAGTCCTGGCCTTTGTTCTCTAGATGTCACCAGCACATCTTCCTTGCAAGGTGGAGCCAGCAACGTTGAAACCATGACCAATCCTGGTTGAGAGCCACTGGTTTATAGAAGTGTGTCTACCCAGAAAGGAAGAAAATGAGCCAGATGTGGATAGTCACTACCCAAGATGTATGTCTAACATGTACTAGGTGCCAGGCACCAAACCAAGAGCATAAGAATTGTTCAGTGCTGGTAATATGGCTCAGGTGTAAGTAAAGTCACTTGCTAGGTAGGTAAGCCTGGCAACCAGAGCTCCATCTCTGGACACACACACACACACACACACACACACACACAGAGAGAGAGAGAGAGAGAGAGAGAGAGAGAGAGAGAGAGAGAGAGAGAGA